AGGAAGAATCATCAACGACAATTCCGTAACATATGGCGACTGCCAGTAAATCAGTGGTGAGACACACTTTTCTTTTCTCTCCTCTCCTCTCTCAAGAAATACCTTCACTTCAAACTGTCTGAGGAAGCATACTCCTTTTGCTGGTCACTCTTGCAATAACTGGAAATTCTGACCACATTTCTTGTTCTTCAGTGAGAAGAGCGTGGAAGCCAGGCATGCTCCGTGGCTCATGCATTCCCAGGGTGGTATTTAGAAATAGAGGAGGGCTGCATTCCCTTTCCCATCGCTCAAAAGTGATTGGCCCTGAAGGAAAACTCTCAATCTGCAAGGTTATCTCCTGGGAAAGAATGCAAATGACACTTTACTCTCTGTTCTAATTTCGTTCTGAAATTCCCATTCTTACAAATGTATGTTCCCTATCATTTGGTATGAGCCACACAACTAAATTCACCTGCACAGTCAATCAAACACAGGTAAACAGGTTCTTGGTAGTCTGTTTTCAATCAAGATGTATCTTATTACATTAGGGTATCCCTCATTCCATATCCTCTTCCAAATACAGCTTGAATTTTTGACAGTTCTTGTCAATGCTGCAATTGTGTGGGGTTTTTAAAAATTATCTTCAGCATAATTATAGAGAAAAAGAATACTGTCTGGTTTAAAATCAGGGAAGGTATTCTTCAGGTTTGTATCCTTTCAAATGTACTCGGTCTGTATGCTGAACAAATAACCCCAGAAGTGGGACTAAATAAAGAAGAACATGGACCCAGGATTGGAAGGAAATTCACCAATAACTGTGATAAGCATAAGACAGATACAACTTTGTTTGCCAAAGGAAGGAGGCATGAAGCATTTACTGATCAAGGTCCAAGCATGGATTACATTTTCATGAAAAGAAAGCAAAAATCCTCACATCTGAACCCATAAACAACACTAATATAAATGGAACAAAGATTGCAATTGTCAACAATTTTCTTTTACTTGTATCCACGATACACATCCATGAAAGGAACACTTTGGAAACCAAATGATTGAATGCACTGGGCACATCTGCTGCAAGGGGCCTCTTTTTATTATTATTATTATTATTATTATTATTACTAATTTTAATGACAATTTACAGAGGCTTTGG